CTCATCCATGTGAAGGATAGCAATGTGGGAGTGCACACCTTCCTGGGCATTCCCTTTGCCAAGCCACCTGTAGGACCACTGCGGTTTGCCCCTCCTGAGCCCCCTGAACCTTGGAGTGGTGTGAGGGATGCCACCTCCTACCCAGCCATGTAAGTTCTTGTGTGGTGAGAATCTCTGTGGTGGGATGGGCACCCCAGCCAGGGCTCAGTGTTGCTCCCATGTAAACCCCACAGTCCATTTCCTTCTGCATTGTGGAACTTCCCATGCCAAATTTTCCAATAAATTTCCTAAGATACATTCTGTGGAGCAACTTTCTAGGCTCATTTTTCTGGCTTTGCATATGAACAGTGCTAGTACCAGGTGCTATAGCACAAAGCTATACTTGTGCCATGACTTGGATCATGCCAATTGTTCTCTGCCATCTAGAAAGGCGTTTCTGGGACAGGTTCACCTGGGTTGTGTGGATAACACACAGCTCCTGGCTCAGCACAGATACTACAGCTCCCTGAGGAGGGCAGCAGTGGGGATTCCTTGGAGAAGCCAAGCTCCACAGTCACTGTGCCAACCCAAAGAGCCAGGTGCCACTGGCTGAGGAAAAGCCCATGTGCTTCCAACTGGAGATGGGTGGAAGGAATGTGATTCCTTCAGGGTCTGGATTTGGATTTCAGCAAAGTCACTCTACCCTGTGTAACTGAGTTTCATTCATTATTATGAATGGTGTGGTGGCAACCCAGCCAGGCTTTAATTGGCACAGAGAAAAAGTGTAAATATCAATCTTTGCAGCTGATGTTGCTAGGAGAATCTATGAGTCATATTTCCAAGGCCTAGAGGGACAGAAATCTAATGTTCACAAGAACATGAAGGCTTCAGGGAAGTTAGAGCTCCATGCTGGGAAGTTAGAGCTCCATGCTGGGATGTTCAGCTCTCCAGCTGAAAATTGGTTGGCAGAGGCATCAGAGAAGATTCTGTATAAACAGGGCACCAGTGCAGCAGGGGTTCACAGTGGCTGGATACAAATCTACCTTTAAGGTCAGATTTTTGAGCCTGAGACAAATGATGGAATAATTGTCTACTATTTTAACCAGGTGTTTGCAAAATTCTGATCCTATGGGCAATGTCACAATACCACCAATCTCTATGTCTGAAGATTGCCTTTATCTCAACATCTATTCACCTGCCAGTGCCCTGGAGGGCTCTAACCTGCCTGTGAGTATCAGGACTTGGCTGGCCTCGGTGGGAGGACATTTCTTCTGCAAGGCTCTTAGTAGTGACAAAGAAAGCCTGGGATCTCAGGTAGTGTGGAACCTCATGCAATCACGTTCCAAACACCATTTACCGGGAAGGGTGATTCACCAAGGTAGGGGACACAGAGTCCTAACTGGTTCCAGATGTTAGAGGCCCTAGTTCTTTAGTCAAACAAGAACTCACTTTACAACTTGAGCCTAGAAGACTCATAGAAGAGCCTAAGTGCTAAACTTTGAGATCACCCAACTTGAGGGGTATCTATTGTGCCAATGCTAAGATGCGATTCTTTGGACTCATACTAAAGTAAGACAATCAGGGAAATGCCCCCCCCCATTCTTTCCACGTTAGGTGGACAAGAGAGTTAGGAACAAATACTCCATGCTTGTGGCCATTGATTCAGACTGAATCAATGTGGAACAGACCACAACCATAGTGTTTGAACTTGAAGCTTCACCCAAAGACAGGTTCAGGAGGTCCTGAGGGGGTACTTTCTATGTTGGCAATTGCCTACAACCAAAGCCATGGACAGTGTAATGGACACCAGACGTAGGTGGGGATGGATGGAGCTGTATTGACTTTCCCAGGTGATGGTGTGGATCCATGGTGGTGCACTGGTTACAGGTTTGGCTTCTATCAATGAAGGATCCAGGCTGGCAGCCACTGAGGATGTGGTGGTGGTTATTATCCAATACCGCCTGGGAGTCCTGGGCTTCTTCAGGTGAGTGTGGGGATTGAGTTGGGCAATGAATGCTAAGCAGAGCCAGGACAGCCCTGTGACCCTTGTCTCTGCCACTTTGCAGCACTGGAGACCAGTATGCCACTGGCAACTGGGGCTACCTGGACCAGGTGGCCGCCCTACGCTGGGTCCAACAGAATATCGCCCACTTTGGAGGCAACCCTGGCTGTGTCACCATTTTTGGCCAGTCTGCAGGTGGCACAAGTGTGTCCTCACATGTCGTGTCCCCCATGTCCCAAGGACTCTTCCATCGTGCCATCATGGAGAGTGGGGTGGCCCTGGTGCCAGTCCTTATCTCGAGCTCCTCTAAAGCAGTCCGCTCAGTGAGTGCCCTCAGTTGCCCTGGTCTAGACTCCCTGCATTTCTGCTCACCCTCTGAGCTTTGGGTTCACTGTGCTTGTGGGTCAAAAGGACCATGGAGCTAACATGGGAACTTCTTGGGAACTGCTGAGGGCTCAGGGGTAGACTCCACAGAGGCTGAGGGTCATCTGTAACAAGCAAGTCTACTAATGTCCCCTGTGGGCATAACCATGCATTCAGAGCGGATGAACCCTCTGGGCAAAGTCTCTGAGCCTTACGAAAGTAGGAACAATTTCACATCTACAGCAATCCACACACTATACCCTAAGAGATCTGGAGGGACTTACATCAATCTGGGTCTGGGAAAATCTCTCTCGCTACTATGGTGAGTAAGGCAGCCCCTGACTGGTTTCTTCCAGACGGTGGCCAACCTGTCTGCCTGTGAGCAGGTGGACTCAGAGGCCCTGGTGCGCTGCCTGCGGGCCAAGAGTGAAGAGGAAATGCTGGCTATTACCAAGGTCATGCTGAATGGTGGGGTGAGGGTCTGACAGGGAAACCTGCCCACTGCTCCCTGAGGGAAAAAGGGAGATATGGTGTGAATCACCTAGTCCTAACATTCTGAACCAGTGACTCTGGTTTGTAACCCTGGATATAAAATGAAAACTGTCCAAGGCTAACTCAAGTGTTTGATGTCTTGGGATGTGTATGGGAGAGAATACTGGGAAGAACTGCGATAGGGTAGAAATAAAAAATGTAGTATTAGAAAATATGTAGTATGTGATCTCAAATTCTGATCATTGATGCGTTCTCAGACCTTCAGGATCATCCCTGGAGTGGTGGATGGCTTCTTCCTACCCAGGCATCCAAAGGAGATGCTCATCTCTGCAGAATTCCACCCTGTCCTTAGTATCATAGGTGTCAACACTGATGAGTATTCCTGGATCATCCCCAAGGTAAGGCTTTGTTCTAACTCATTAGTAGTCTAGGGAGCTCTTCTGCTATGAGTGTGAGTGGCAAGAGGTACAGGGTGGGACAGGATATAGTACTTTCGTAACCACACAATTCCACTCTTAAACTCTCTGCCCACCACTCAGGTCCTGGGACATCTTGACACCATAAAGGGAATAAATAAAAGCACGTTGCCAGCTGTTATGCAGAACATGGTAGGACACATGGTAAGGATCTGGACACCTGCACCAATGGATGGGAAACCACAAGGTATTGTTCACACAGTAACCTTCAGGATTACAGGATGATATATGAATGTGTTTGTGGCAGGGTTACACCAGAGCTTGGCTTTATCCACACTACGTTCCAAGTCCTATCTCCTCTCCCAGAGGCTGCCCCCTCCCTGCCACTGCACTCCTGCCTAGCCTGACTCTCTCTGATCCTCTTGGCACAGAACTTGCCTGCTGAGTGTGCCCACCTGCTGATGGAAGAGTACATGGGGGACACCGAG